CTGTGGTCAGAGCTTTCACCAAGACCCGAATCATCACTGAACTGAACTCCAGGGAACAGGAACCACACTGACTCGGATCATGACAGAGGGATGTGGGTGTGTGGATGCCGGAATCACCCAACTGTTTGAACAATTATGATTTATTGTGAATACGAGAACAATTTAACATCTCAGACAGGATTTTTTTTTTTACATGTTACAACTGAACAAAGTTGAGAGTTACTGTGAACGCGTTAAATAAAGTTTGACTGATTTATCTAACTGTTGTGTTTGGTTTAATGCGCCTTATAGTCCGGTGCAGTTTATATGTGAAAAAAGTTTAAAAATAGACCGTTCAATGACTGCGCATTTTAATCCAGAGCCCCTATAGTGCAGAAAATACGGTATTTTGTCGATCTGGAAGGGTTGATATTTGTAGAAAAAGCAACAAACACAAGCTCAGACTAAAATCTAACTTGAGTAACAGAGCTTCAGACAGAGCAGTGCCTACAGTTAACGTCACACTCCCAGGAAATGTTGACTTCAGCTGTAAAAGTATCAAAAGACTCTGGGTTCCTCTGGTTTAGACCGAGTTTACTCGAGTAAAACTCAGACAGATATTTGTTTTTATTTCATTATTGTGTCTGATGTAAAAGTGTTCGTTTTCCTTGGGCCTGTGGGGTTCTGTTGGGCTCAGGGGTTAAAGGTCACACTGACCTGAGTGTGGCTCCTTCCGTTCGGACCAAGTCTCCGTCTTTTAGATAAGTGTAGCTCTGACTCCCCAGTGATTCTTTTGAGCCGTTGGCACGAGGAAGTTTACTCACTTTAACCTCAGGACCTGGACAAGAAAGAAACGTTATACAGACGAGAGAGAGAGAGAGAGAGAGAGAGAGAGAGAGAGAGAGAGAGAGAGAGAGAGAGAGAGAGAAGGAGAAGGTCAGAGGAGCAGACAGGAAAGGGTGAGAGGGTGAGAGTGTGAGAGGTGAGAGTGTGAGAGTGTGAGAGAGGTGAGAGAGGTGAGAGTGTGAGAGGGTGAGAGTGTGAGAGTGTGAGAGTGTGAGAGGTGAGAGAGGTGAGAGAGGGTGAGAGTGTGAGAGGTGAGAGTGTGAGAGTGTGAGAGAGGTGAGAGAGAGAGGTGAGAGAGGTGAGAGGTGTGAGAGAGAGGTGAGAGGAGATGAGAGTGTGAGAGGGTGAGAGTGTGAGAGTGTGAGAGAGGTGAGAGTGTGATGAGAGAGAGTGAGAGTGTGAGAGTGTGAGAGTGAGAGAGGTGAGAGAGGTGAGAGTGTGAGAGGTGAGAGAGTGTGAGAGTGTGAGAGTGAGAGATGAGAGTGTGAGAGTGAGAGTGAGAGTGTGAGAGTGTGAGAGTGAGAGTGTGAGAGTGTGAGAGAGGTGAGAGAGAGTGTGAGAGTGTGAGAGGGTGAGAGGTGAGAGATGAGAGTGTGAGAGGGTGAGAGTGTGAGAGATGAGAGTGTGAGAGGTGAGAGTGTGAGAGTGTGAGAGTGTGAGAGTGTGAGAGAGGTGAGAGTGTGAGAGAGTGTGAGAGGTGTGAGAGAGAGAGGTGAGAGAGGTGAGAGTGTGAGAGTGTGAGAGTGTGAGAGTGTGAGAGTGTGAGAGGTGAGAGGTGAGAGAGGTGAGAGAGGTGAGAGGGTGAGAGTGTGAGAGAGGTGAGAGAGGTGAGAGAGGTGAGAGTGTGAGAGTGTGAGAGGTGAGAGTGTGAGAGTGTGAGAGTGAGAGAGGTGAGAGAGGTGAGAGGGTGAGAGTGTGTGAGAGGTGAGAGAGGTGAGAGTGTGAGAGTGTGAGAGTGTGAGAGAGTGAGAGAGAGTGTGAGAGTGAGAGGTGAGAGAGTGTGAGTGTGAGAGTGTGAGAGAGGTGAGAGGTGAGAGGTGAGAGGTGAGAGTGTGAGAGAGTGAGAGAGGTGAGAGTGTGAGAGTGTGAGAGTGAGAGTGTGTGAGAGTGTGAGAGTGTGAGAGGTGAGAGTGTGAGAGTGTGAGAGTGTGAGAGAGGTGAGAGAGGTGAGAGTGTGAGAGTGTGAGAGTGTGAGAGTGTGAGAGAGGTGAGAGTGTGAGAGTGAGAGTGTGAGAGTGTGAGAGGGTGAGAGTGTGAGAGTGTGAGAGGTGAGAGGTGAGAGAGTGTGAGAGTGTGAGAGTGTGAGAGAGTGAGAGTGTGAGAGTGTGAGATGAGAGTGTGAGAGTGTGAGAGGTGAGAGTGTGAGAGTGTGAGAGGTGAGAGTGTGAGAGTGTGAGAGTGTGAGAGTGAGGTGAGAGTGTGAGAGTGTGAGAGGTGTGAGAGTGTGAGAGTGTGAGAGTGTGAGAGTGTGAGAGTGTGAGAGAGGTTAGAGTGAGAGTGAGTGAGAGTGTGAGAGTGTGAGAGTGTGAGAGTGAGATGAGAGTGAGAGTGTGAGAGTGTGTGAGAGGTGAGAGTGTGAGAGTGAGAGTGTGAGATGAGAGTGTGAGAGTGTGAGAGTGTGAGAGTGTGAGAGTGAGAGTGAGAGTGTGAGAGTGTGAGAGTGTGAGAGTGTGAGAGGTGTGAGAGTGTGAGAGTGTGTGAGAGTGAGAGTGAGAGTGAGAGTGTGAGAGTGTGAGAGTGTGAGAGTGTGAGAGTGAGAGTGAGAGTGTGAGAGTGTGAGAGTGTGAGAGTGTGAGAGTGTGAGAGTGTGAGAGTGTGAGAGTGTGAGAGTGTGAGAGGTGAGAGTGTGAGAGTGTGAGAGGTGAGAGGTGAGAGTGTGAGAGTGTGAGAGGTGAGAGTGTGAGAGTGTGAGAGTGTGAGAGGTGAGAGGGTGAGAGTGTGAGAGGTGAGAGTGTGAGAGTGTGAGAGTGAGAGTGAGAGTGTGAGAGGTGAGAGTGTGAGAGTGTGAGAGGTGAGAGTGTGAGAGAGTGAGAGAGAGTGTGAGAGTGTGAGAGTGTGAGAGTGTGAGAGGTGAGAGTGTGAGAGTGTGAGAGGGTGTGAGAGGGTGAGACCTGTGATGTCTCGGCTGATGTCCTGCACTCCTCCCGTGTGGTCGTGGTGCCAGTGGGTGACGATGATCTCCTGGATGCTGCTGCTGAACTGGACCAGAGCTTGTCTCAGGTTGGAGATGTACTCAGGGACAGAAGGCTCCCCCGTGTCTATGAGCACACGCCTGGACAACACACACGCGCACGCACACACACACACACACACACACACACACACCAGGAGTCAAACATACAACCTCCAACTGAGAGGAGACAGGAGAACACTGTGCCCGCTGTCCCTCACCTGTCTCCAGTAAATCTCAACAAGATTTTATTAACACAAAAGAAATTTTTAAGAAATATGAATTATTCACACTAGGGATGGGCATGATTAGTTGATTAATCTATAATTGATCATTAAGAATTTCATCGATTACGTTAATTTTAATCGACAAACTGAATGTATGTTTTGTGTGTCGTGACCAAACAGGTGTGTACATGTGTCTCTGCATCAGAAGGAGCGAGACACAAACAGTGGGTCAGTCTGTAACGAACCGAAGCACAAATGTGGATTTAACCAGGATTTGGACAAGAAATTCCACACTTTCCGTTGCGTTGGGACAAGTGTGAGTCCATGTGCACAGTGGATAAAGCAGCACATATGTTTCTGTGTCCAGTGGGAAAAAGTTTTTCCAGGTGAGAGTCGCTCAATGTGGATGACGAGGCCCCGCCCCCCTCCCCCCGTACGCTGTCCTGGTTTTGACAAACACAAATCTGGTCACACTGACCTGTATTCACCTGAGTCATGTCTTTTAATCCAACACAAGTTGAACCACATCAGCGACACAAGAGCTGGAGTTTTATCTTCACTTGTGCAGAACTTCCACAAATGAAAGAAAACTCAACATCACAGAGACCGACCCTCTGGAATCATTCAGCAAAGACTCTCAAATCAATTTCCTCACTGGACGATTAAAACAAACATTGATTTGTAATGATATTTAATATTTGGACTATTGAGAGTCCACGTGTCTGTTCATGACTGTTGTGATTAAATCAAGTTTAGGAAATGTTCACTTTTTACTGTTCAAAATGTTGTTTTTAATATATGTGCAAATAAAATCTATCTGTCTGTCTTCACCTGTCCACTGTAGTGTCCCTCACCTGTCTCCCTCACCTGTCTCCTGTAGTGTCCCTCACCTGTCTCCCACAGTGTCCCTCACCTGTCTCCTGTAGTGTCCCTCACCTGTCTCCCGTAGTGTCCCTCACCTGTCCACTGTAGTGTCCCTCACCTGTCTCCTGTAGTGTCCCTCACCAGTGTCCCTCACCTGTAGTGTCCCTCACCTGTAGTGTCCCTCACCTGTCTCCTGTCTCCTGTAGTGTCCCTCACCTGTCTCCTGCCTCACCTGTCCCTCACCTGTCCCTGTGTAGTGTCCCTCACCTGTCTCAGTGTCCCCACCTGTCTCCTGTAGTGTCCCTCACCTGTCTCTCGTAGTGTCCCTCACCTGTCTCCTGTAGTGTCCCTCACCTGTCTCCTGTAGTGTCACCTGTCTCGTAGTGTCCCTCACCTGTCAGTGTCCCTCACCTGTAGTGTCCCTCACCTGTCCACTGTAGTGTCCCTCACCTGTCTCCTGTAGTGTCCCTCACCTGTCTCCTGTAGTGTCCCTCACCTGTCTCCTGTAGTGTCCCTCACCTGTCTCCTGTAGTGTCCCTCACCTGTCTGTAGTGTCCCTCACCTGTCTGTAGTGTCCCTCACCTGTCTCCTGTAGTGTCCCTCACCTGTCTCCTGTAGTGTCCCTCACCTGTCTCCGGTCCCCACCAGGTAGGTGTTGGTCCCCTGCAGAGTCATGGGACCCGGGTTACAGCCCAGAACCCGAACCACGCGGGAGGACAACTGCTCGATGCGCGGGATCACGGCGCTCATGGCTCCACCGGACCGGGACAGAGGACACAGGACACCCGGGACAGAGGACTGAAGACCCGAGGACCTTTGGAGGCCGTGGACAGAGGACACCCGGAGACAAACAACAGACCGCGGGGACTAAACTTTGACCAAAACATGCGAGGACAGAACCCGGAAAAGAAGCTCGGCACGTGACCATTGTTTACATCCGCTTTCCAGACCCTACAAAATAAAACACGTCCAGTCTATAGTTTAGAAAATAAAAGAGTATTTAAAGTGTTTGTTTACAGAAAAAAAAGTGACAATTTAACAAAAAAAATTACAAAGGCAACTTTTTAGAGACCAACCAACAAGAAATATGAATTAATTGTTATTTAAAATGTATTATTATATTATAATATTATATATATATTATAAACCTGTGTATATTTGTAATGTGAACGTGTTCTTGTTTGTTTTATTTTTTAGTTCATCTACTGTCAAATGTCAAAAAAAAAAAAAAAATGACATAGATGAAATATTGTAAATTGAAGGAAGAGGATTAAAATAAGCTATGCGTGTTCCTAGTCTTCCTACTATATTTATTTTTATTTTTATTTATTTATTTATTTTATTTTTATTTTTTTTTTTTTGGAACATTGAATGTTTTTAGCAATATTGTTCTCTTTTTTTCGTTTGTTTCTTTCTCTGCTAAATGTGCATGTTCTGAGAGACTGGACACTATTATATGTTGTGCCTTCATACTTTTATTTTATTAATTTTTACACTGAAATAAAAGTAATTCTGACACAGTAGATGCAGATGTGCAGATGCCGCGCGGCGTGTGGTTTTATTACAGTTTACTCCGGATGCCCTGCCTCTTTATGAACAACACAAGTTAATGCAATGATAAACTGTGACCAGCAGAGGGCGACAGTGTTCAGTGTCCAAGTGTCACTATATAAACCCACTGAGGTAATGACTGAAGAAAATACACTACTACTACTACTACTACTACTACTACTACTACTACTACTACTACTACTACTACTACTACTACTACTACTACTACTACTACTGCTACTACTACTACTACTACTACTACTACTACTGTACTACTACTACTACTACTACTACTACTACTACTACTACTACTACTACTACTACTACTACTACTACTACTACTACTACTACTACTACTACTACTACTACTACTACTGCTACTACTACTACTACTACTACTACTACTACTACTACTACTGACTACTACTGCTACTACTACTACTACTACTACTACTACTACTACTACTACTACTACTACTGCTACTACTACTACTACTACTACTACTACTACTACTACTACTACTACTACTACTACTACTACTACTGCTACTACTACTACTACTACTACTACTACTACTACTACTACTACTACTACTACTACTACTACTGCTACTACTACTACTACTACTACTACTACTACTACTACTACTACTACTACTGCTACTACTACTACTACTGCTACTACTACTACTACTACTACTACTACTACTACTGCTACTACTACTACTACTACTACTACTACTACTACTACTACTTCTACTACTACAGCCTTCAGACACACTTTTCTCTCTCTTTCATTTTCTCTTTCTTTCTTCCACTCCAACTTTCTCTCGACTTCTATTTTTCTGTTATCTTCCTCTCTCCCTCTTCATCTGTCTCTCTCTCCTCCTCTCCTCTCCTCTTACTCTCTCTCCTCCTCTCCTCTCCTCTTACTCTCTCTCTCCTCCTCTCCTCTCCTCTTACTCTCTCTTCTCCTCCTCTCCTCTCTCTCTCTTCTCTCTCTCTCCTCCTCTCCTCTCCTCTTTACTCTCTCTCTCTCTCCTCTCCTCTCCTCTTACTCTCTCTCTCCTCCTCTCCTCTCCTCTTACTCTCTCTCTCTCTCTCTCCTCTCCTCTCCTCTCTCTCTCTCTCTCTCCTCTCCTCTCCTCTCCTCCTCTTACTCTCTCTCTCCTCCTCTCCTCTCTCCTCTCCTCTTACTCTCTCTCTCCTCCTCTCCTCTCCTCTCCTCTTACTCTCTCTCTCCTCCTCTCCTCTCCCCCTCCTTCTCCTCTCCTCTCCTCTCTCTCTCTCTGTCTCTGTGTGTTGTGTCTCTTGTGTAATCACACACAGAGTTGAGTCTAATCTCCACCAACTCTAATTCAATATAAATGTAAATGAACAGAGAGAGAGAGAAGAGAGAGAGAGAGAAGAGAGAGAGAGAGAGAGAGAGAGAGAGAGAGAGAGAGAGAGAGGGGAGGAGGGGAGAGAAAGAGAGAGAGGAAGAAAAAGAGAGAGAAGAGGGAGAGAGATAGAGAGAGGGAGAGAGAAAGAGGATAGAAGGAGAGAAGAAGAGAGAGAGAAGAGAGAGAAGAGAGAGAGAGAAGAGAGAGAGGAGAGAAGAGAGAGAGACAGAGAGAGAGAGAGAGAAGAGAGAGAGAGAGATAGAAGGAGAGAGAGAGAGGGAGAGAGAGAGAGAGAGAGAGAGAGAGGAGAGGGTGATACAAACAGAGATGAGAAGGAGAGAGAGAAGATGGAGAGAGTTGGAGGTGTGGAGCTCACACTCGTCTGCTGTAGTGTCTGGAGGAACAGAAGTACTGTGTCCTAACAAAGTAAAAGTATTGTGTTAGTGCAGTACATGTTGTGTGTACTTTTACTTCATATACAAAGTAAAAGTATTGTGTTAGTGCAGTACATGTTGTGTGTACTTTTACTTCATATACAAAGTAAAAGTATTGTGTTAGTGCAGTACATGTTGTGTGTACTTTTACTTCATATACAAAGTAAAAGTATTGTGTTAGTGCAGTACATGTTGTGTGTACTTTTACTTCATATACAAAGTAAAAGTATTGTGTTAGTGCAGTACATGTTGTGTGTACTTTTACTTCATATACAAAGTAAAAGTATTGTGTTAGTGCAGTACATGTTGTGTGTACTTTTACTTCATAGATCCAGGAGCAGGTTTGTGACACACAGAAAAGTCGAGTCTTCAAGGAGACTGTGTAAGACCTTTACTTTTGGTTTAGTCCTGGTTCAGTCCTGGTTCAGTCCTGGTTTAGTCCTGGTTTGGTCCTGGTTTGGTCCTGGTTTAGTCCTGGTTTAGTCCTGGTTTAGACCTGGTTTAATCCTGGTTCAGTTCTGGTTTAGTCCTGGTTTAGTCCTGGTTCAGTTCTGGTTTAGTCCTGGTTTAGTTCTGGTTTAGTCCTGGTTCAATTCTGGTTTAGACCTGGTTTAGTCCTGGTTTAGACCTGGTTTAGTCCTGGTTTAGTCCTGCTTTAGTCCTGCTTTAGACCTGGTTTAGTCCTGGTTTAGTCCTGGTTTAGTTCTGGTTCAGTTCTGGTTTAGACCTGGTTTAGTCCTGGTTCAGTTCTGGTTTAGTCCTGGTTTAGTCCTGTTTGTGGTTTCCTGGTTTTAGTCCTGGTTTAGTCCTGGTTTAGTCCTGGGTTTAGTCCTGGTGGTTCAGTTCTGGTTTAGTCCTGGTTTAGTTCTGGTTTAAGTCCTGGTAGTCCTGGTTTTCCTGGTTTAGTCCTGTTTAGTTTAGTCCTGGTTTAGTCCTGGTTTAGTCCTGGTTTTTCTGGTTTAGTCCTGGTTTAGTCCTGGTTCAGTTCTGGTTTAGACCTGGTTTAGTCCTGGTTTAGTCCTGGTTTAGTTCTGGTTTAGTCCTGGTTCCCTGGTTTAGTCCTGGTTTAGTCCTGGTTTAGTCCTGGTTCAGTCCTGGTTTAGTTTTAGTTTGAGACTTTTACAAAATGATTCAAACACAACTTTTTACAAACGTCTTTTCAAAACTGGAGCCGAGAGAAAAAACAAAACAAAACAAAACAAAAAAAACATTTGAGAATCTTTTAGTGATTTTTCTGAATTAAAGTTGAGTTTGAGTTTCACTCGTTCGTCACATGATCAGTTTGTCCTCATCACTGTCCTCAGGTCAAACACTCCTCTTTCTCTCTCTCTCTCTCTCCTCGCACTCGTCTTTTTCTCTCTCTCTCTTCTCGTTTCTCTCTCTCTCTCCCTTTATTTCTACCGCTTCTCCCCTCCTCTGTTCTTTGTCTTTCTTTCCTTTCTCCGTGCTCCTCTTTCTCTCTCTCTCTTTCAGTTCCACACCTCTTCTTCTTTCTCTTTCTTTCTCTCCTCTCTCCCTCTTTTCTCCTCCTCTCTCTTTCTATCTTTTTCCTTCTCCATCCTCTCTTCTTCTCTCTCTTTTTTCTCCTTCCCTCCTCTCTCCTCTTCTCTCCTCTCTCATCTCCTCTTCCTTCCCTTCTTTTTCTCCCTCTTCCTCCTTCTCTCTCTCTCCATCCTCTCTCTCTCTCTCTAACTTCCACACCTCCTCTCTCTCTCTCTCTCTTTCCCTCTCCTCTCTCCCTTTATTTCTTCCTCTCTTCTCCCTCTGTTCTGTCTTTCTTTCCTTTCGTCAGGCCTCTCTTTCTCTCTCTCAGTTCCACACCTCTTTTTCTTTCTCTCCTCCCCCCCTCTTTTCTCCTCCTCTCTCTCATCTCCTTTTTCTTCCTCCATCCCTCTCTCTTTTTCTCTCTCTCCTTCTCTCCTCCTTTCTTTCTCTCTCCCTCCTTCTCTCCTTTCTCTCTCTCCCTCCTTCTCTCCTTTCTCTCTCCTCTCTCCCTTTATTTCTTTCTCTCCTCCCCTTCTCCCTCTGTTCTATCTTTCTTTCATTTCTCCATTCTCTTTCTCTGTTCCACATCTCTTTTTCTTTCTCTTTCTTTCTCTACTCCCTCCTTCTTTTCTCCTCTCTCTCTTGTCTCCTTTTTCTTCCCCCATCTCTCTCTCTTTTTCTCTCCCTCCCTCCTTCTCTCCTCCTTTCTCTCCCTCCTCCTCTCTTTCTCTGTTCCACATCTGTTTTTCTTTCTCTGTTTCTTTACTCTCTCCCTCTTTTCTCCTCCTCTCTCTCATTTCCTTTTCCCCTCCCTCTCTCTCTCTTTTTTTTCTCTCTCTCCGTCCGTGAAGCTTCACCTGTCGCTTGGCAACACTCACAGCTCGGCGACATCTGCCCGGCAACAGCCTCCGCCATCGTCCAATCAGAGCGCAGACACTCGTCTTTATTAGAACTTTCGGGATTTTTTCGGTTTAAAATCACAAAAACTGTTTGAATAAAATGTAGAATTATTAAAACCCGTCGCCCTGAGGAGGAAACTCATTTGTGCCGCTCGTATCGTCG